CCTCAGCAATTAAACAGTTGTCAATCTTGAAATTATAATATTAAATACATGTTTAAAAAGCATATGGATGGAGAGTGGGGACACTATATTTCCATTTATTATAAGGTTTGATGATTTGCCTATCTTCAAAGAATAAAACAGATATTTTGTACACTAGCACAATTCTCACATAGGTAACTCTCTCAAAATATAAATTAATAGCTTTAAAAATATACTATTTTTGTTCTATTTTATGCTAAAAATAAACTAGGATTTTAAAAATTAGGAACTAGCAAACTTTGTAATAGCATATTTTTGTGCAAAATTAAGTAAATTTTAATTCATCACATTTCACTGGCCAACTCAAACTTTTAAAAAATGTCTACGTGAAAAGTGTACGGCAATGCTTCCATCTGCTAGCAAGTAAGTCAGCCAAGTTCATTCATTTGGGATCACCAAATGCTGCATCATGCTGTGAGCTGAAGCACGTCTCAGGAACTTGAAATGTCCAGTTAAATACTCATTATCTCTCTAGCTATCCCACACAATCATAAATGCAAACATCTCTATACCAGATGTTTCATTGTTTCATTACATTATCACATTGTAAATAGAACCCTCTTTTTGAAAAGTTACATTTACTGAAGCCTAAGAAAGAGAAACTTGCTAAATTTTCTTTAAAAGAAATATGTCATTATGTTACTTAAAATGCTTTAATTTCTTTTTTTAGCTGTCATTTCCTTATTAACTCTCCGAGGATTTTCTTTATAGCTGACACTGTCCTTCCAATGTAATTCACTGTAGCAGTGGTCTGCAATGTCCCTGAACAAATATACTAGGCTGGTTCAGACACAATGTTCATCTCCAAATAAAGAGAATAACTGTATGCTTCAATTCCTAGCTTCAGTTCACTCTCCTGACTCAAAATCCTAGGTAAACTAAATATTTCAACCAACCAGCCAAACCATAATTTGCACAAGCCACTACAACACTGAAAATTTAAAGTTCTTCATTTCAAATCAATATTTGACATATTTGAAATTAAAGACATACTGTAGACACCAAATTTGGTGGAGTACATATCAGACATGTAATAGAAATTATATATGACAAGAGAAGTATGCTAAAGGATGATAGACTTTTGATTCTTCTGATTCTTCTTAACTACAGATGGTCAGCAGATGGATTTTTGTTTATATAATTGTTTTGTTTTTATTAGTTATATATAATT